ACGGTAGGTAACTGTTTTCGTCGAAGCCGGCTTTGCTTTTGCGCTCGCAAATTATTAAAATAACGTACGATGTCGACAGGTCGATTGCAATAACAGAGGAAATGAAAATTTCAATGCGAAAAGTGATGACACCGGCTGCTTTGTGCTGTGAATGTGACGGCTTTCGTTTTGTACTTGCATTCGTACGTCCATTCAAGTTTGCTTAATGGGCCCTTATTATAATATTTATGTATGAAGACGAACGACGAGACTGTGCATGAATGTTTTGAAGGGGAGATTTGTGCAAAATTTAATATCTTACTTCCTACGCGATAGGAAGCTATTGTAGATACGAAACATTTGGAAACACGATATAGTGCTATTATCCTGAGGTAAATATTGGGGGTTAAGAATTAATAATTTTCCTTACATTGAGCAATGTCATAATCGTTCGCTGGTTTTCTTGTAAGAGTGTATAAAAGCTGGTAAGATTGCATAGAAACTTAAAAAAATGAGATAATTATTTAGGGCTCCAGGTGACACGGAATAATCTAGTGACAATACTAACAAAAAATTAAAAAAGGGCAGCAATATGTACCATTATTTCAATTTGGAGACTCACCACTGGTATCTCGAAAACGGTAAGTCGATTAACCGGGGGCAAAGTTTCGTATCCAAGTAACTAATAAAGTGCCGCTTAGAAAGTTTCAACATGTAAAGTACTTCAGAAGGGAGACGGAAAAAACCGAATTTTCCCAAAATCGTTATATTCTTCTTTCCTGACTTCATTTATAGTGGAATTTCAAAAGAAACTTGCACATTATTATTGCTACTTTTTTCCTTCACAAGATGGCGCAATTAGAATTTCAATATGACGTTTCGTCTTTTGTTCTCCAGCATTAACTTTATTTTTTCATATTGGATTTTTCTGCAAGTGAATAGACTCTAAATTCCGATTCCAAAAATGTTTTTCTACTTATAGGTATGCCATACAATGAGATTGCCAAACCTTAGTTGCTTAAACAAAAAAGTGAAATTTCCTAGGTAGGCTTTGAATTCATCATTTGTTTCGTATACCAGATTTATCCCAAAATCCTTTTTTAGTTTTCCTGCCTTTACTTGAGATGGGATTTCAAAATAAATTACAAAATGGCGTAGTTAAATTTTCAATTCGAGGTGTCTTACTTCGACTTCCGTCACCAGCTTTGTTTTTCATATGAATGCTGTTTTGGTATTTTGTATATATAAATGGAGATTTAAATCTGAAAGACAGTGATATATTTCCTAAATTGGCCATGAATTTGCTGTTGAAACGAAAATTATAAGGAAATAAAATAGGTATGGTGAAACCTAAACACGAAATGAAAATTTTTTTGATGGTAATAACAATAATAATCATAACTAAGCAGAGGTTAATTATAGTAGATGTTCAAAACCTCGTTCGTTATTTTGTAAGCAAGGCCTGACTCTTCGATGTACATTGTTCACTGCTCGGCTTATTTCTCTTCTTCTTAGTCTTCCAAAGTCTGTTACAATGTTTAATTTGAAGTCTCGTCTGGTATACAAATAAATGACTATCTGATAATTTCAGGGCCTACCTAGAAAATTCTGCTTTCCTGAAATAACTAAGGTTTTAATGTACTTTGAAATTCGAATTTTTCTAATAGGCATTTGCTAGTTACCTAAATACGCAAGTTTGCCCCTATTTAAGCGACTTGGTATCTTACCATTTTCGAGATCCTATTAGTGGGGTCGAATTTGAATTACCCGATATATTAGATATCCGCCGTTTTATATGTTCATACCGTTAGCTGTGTTTTGCTAACAAGAGCTTTAATTTACCTAAACTGTATGATAGACATTTCGTATATCTAAAATTATGTCATTTCTTTATGACACTTTTTGCAAACAAAAAATACTCAATCTAATGACTGTGCATTTTTCGAATTAACGATAATTTTTGAGCGGGGTAAAGTTATTAAAGTTTAGATTTTCATGTTTTGCATTTTTAAATTTTTGCCAACGATGTCACTTTTTCTGTTTCCGATATTCAGATTTTTAACGGATGCAAAAGTGTTTTAAGGTTTTAAGCACTCTCATTTAAAATATTATAAGAAACGAAGAACCTCAATATACCTACTGGATATTCATTTTTTGCTTTACAGAAAATACATACCTATCTACCCTGATAAAAAAAACGTGATTGTATAACAGATATTGAAGCAGTTCACTTAACTCATTGTTTATCTAATACCACTACATAATATTTTGGGTCCATGTACACACCCAATATAGATCACAGCCACATGCACATTTGAAAATTAGTTACAGAAACAACTTTAAAATTATAACCTGTCGTAATAAATATAATAAAGTGTATTACTCTGATATATTGCCAATTTGATGGAAAACACCGATATAATTTTACGTCCATGGTGCTTCTTCATGATTATCATAGCCATGATATGCCGACTATCACACCATTAATTAATATTAATTAGTTTATATAATATAATAATAGATTATACGTAATATAAACGTTCATGCCATGACTAATAACCATCATGTGAAACATTATTCCACTCTGTGTTAATCACGAAGTTTGAAATTGAATTATGATTGTTACAAACAACATTCAGGACGTCACGTGAACTTATCAATTTATTGTAAAATATTATGGTAGTAGGGTGGTACATAACATTTCATAAGAATATGTCGCTTAAATCCAAAACATAAGAGGTATAACACTGTTGTACGTACTCGTCAAACTACAGTTGCTGCTTCCAATAGAAAGTCTGTGGTCTCTTGAGTTCAAATATGACACTAACTTATCAAAAAGCATTTTTTTTTAAATAATAAATCGATAGAACTGTTTTACTGAGTGGAAAATTCGTTATTCTACTACCATACAAGATGATTCAAAAAGCAGTGGCAGTATTTCTGGAGCAGAAACTATACAAAATAAAACATGTTCAACAGATGATGCAATACTTGATATTATGACTGAGGTTTCCAGTAATATAAGACCCAAAGACCCAACTCTATGTGTCTTTGTCTACCTAAAGAAGGCATTCGATACAGTTAGCAACAGTAAGCTTTCGTGGCAGTGCATCCTCATTAATGAAATCCTACCTATCAAATAGGACACATTATGTGAAGATTACTGATTCTTTGAGTGATGGTAGAACAGCGAAAATTGGAATACCACAAGGGACTGTATTGGCACCGATTTATTGAACATTCTCGTTAACGAACTATATTTACTAGAACATCGAGGAAGAATCATCAAGCTTTGCGGACGACACGGACATCATATACAGTTTTCAAACCTGGATAACGTAAAAACTCTAACAGAAACAGAATTTTGCAAGATTATCAAATGGTTCAACTCTAGACTTTTAACCGTAAATTACAACAAAACTTGTTATATCCCATTTTCATCCTGTGAACGATATATTATGCCGAAATGTTCAGATTTAAACATAAAACTGAAATATCTGGGAGTGTACCTAGGTTCTACCCCAAAATGGGACACAGACATACATTTCGTAATTAAAAAATGGCATACAATACTTTGCAAATTCAAATATCTTATGAAATACTATGACTTATATCAAATGAAAGTCCTCTATTATTCACTAGTTGAGAGCCATTTGAGGTATGGTGTGATCGCGTGGGGAGCAGCGTGTAAGACACACATGAAAAATCTGAGACAATAAAAAAGATCATTCTAAAGGTAACATATAATAAGGCAAGAAGATACCCAACAGAACATTTATATACCAAACTGAGCATGTCTATGATACCCGCCATAAAGTAAGAGCATGTTTACCAATGCCTCATTTCAATGCCATGCAGAAATTATTCTAATACCTAGGACCGAAGCTTTATAATCGTTTGCCTATTATCTTGAAACACTATAATTCTATCTATAAAACCTTTTTTTAAAACTGTCAAGGAATTATTTTAAAAGTTCTTGATATATACATAAGGTTAAGCATATCCAAGCATGCAGATGAAACAAATGAAGTTCCTAATGTGACATTATCAGATTCGTCGCACACCCGATTATGACTATTGTACCTATAATGACAATTATACTGATATAGACTGAATATTGGATAGACATCTCACCACGCACAGGCATCGCCTTCTGTGGGTATTTCATATTTATTTGCATGCTTTTTTATTTCACCTGGAATATTTGTAATTGTAATTAAAAGCAAATAAATATTATTATTTACACAAGGATCAACTTGTAAAGATACAGGCTATTATAAATTTCTACGCTAGTGATGGTACTGATTGAGAATTGCACATGTATATTCCTGTAAAATTAACTACCTTGTCACAAAAAAAGTAACAGCGGCGTAGAAAATATTTTTCTATATAGAGATAGATGTCCCTGATTCTACACCACTGCTGAAAGTATGCTGTACCTACCATACTGCACACATGTTCGCAAGGTATATAACTTCAACATTTTTCAAGGAGAAACTTAGGTACCTATACGTTTATAGAAACTTTTTGATATTTTCATTTTCTGCCAAAATAATATTGTGCCTGCTTTTTGAATCGCTTTATTTATAATATTATATTACATCAATTTTCAACTTGTACACGTCCATTATACCATATTATTTTCTATATAATATATACAAATTCAAGCTTTCCCATAACTCCAAACTACAACAAGTGGTAAAAAGCTATTATGTTTGAAAATCCTTACTGATAATAGATTGAATAATTGAGAATATTGGAAAAAAGTTTTTGCCGTTGAGTTTTATTGAGATTCCACTTAATATGTGTCTACGATAGGTCACGGGATACCAAGAGAATCCAAGTCGTTTAGTAAATATCAACTTTTTTCTCACGGTATAGATGGAATATATTTATATTGCTTTCTCTCCATAATAAGGTGAAAAACAGAAATAGATCTATGTCTGCTTGTTGAGTAGAGAGTTGATATTTATCTACATTTATGCTCCGCCACCAAATAAATACTTTGTGCAAATACTAACCATCAAGGATCAAGCTCTCCCAGCGATACTTGTTTATCCCCAGTCTTTTTATAGCTACTCGCTGTACTAGGTATATTTTTCTATATCGGATTTGCACAGATAATATCAAAGTGCTTTTCTCCTCTCCTACAACGCCAATTTTCCTTTAGAAATATAACTCATAGAAATGTTAGTTGCGCGTCCGTCCGTACTGAAGTATCATTAAATCACTCAATAACAGAGTCAGAGCATTAACGATCGTCGAAAACCGGCCAAGCACACATTTAAAACACCATATCCAGCAGACGTATAAAAAACCGCCGGCAGATTTCGATTAAACGATAAACATTTGAACTAAAACCGCATTTAATGTGTAAAATCAAGTTGGCCGTTCATACAAAACCAATATCACATAAAATATAGTGGAGCCGGGCGACTTAAGCTGCATCCGCGTCCAGAACATGACAGCTATCCGGCTTGATGATATAGGAATATGGTCCTTCTTGCCGGATACTGTTGAGACGTGATTGGTGTGCTTTGCCCCCCACTTTGTGGCTTTTCCAAGGCTGGCGGATTATGACGCTGAGACCACGCCCATTAGGCGCCGTATCCCCTCCACTGCTCGACGAGGCACGCCCATTTATCCGGCGAGAAGGATCAGTTTAGCTGGAGTGTTGATAGGGGTAAGAGGGAATACTCTCTGTGATTCCACAAGCGCTTGTTAATAAAGACAATGGACTCAAATGAATATTATTGAACCTATTATAGTATCAGCTCAACTGAGTGTTATGCAGTTTTAAAAGGTTTTAAATACCAACATGCAGTGGAATATATATCACACGAATTCGGAGGTATAGATTATGTGCAGTCAAAGTAGTCACAGACATGAGCGAGATCCGTCAGAAAGGATGAATCCAGTGTCAATTGTATCGTTTGCAACACTCTTTCATACTCTTACTAGGTATTTAAAAATATTTCGCTGTGCATTTCGATAGTCACATGTAAAATAATCTTTGTAATACGAAGGAAGTCTTTTAAGTTTTGCATATGGAAATAAAACAACACGGTAGGTAGTTTTTAAATGACTTTATTGTTTTTCGAAGTAGGGGGAATCCGGGAGACTTGCCTAGGTGGGAGACTTGCCCGTCCGTGATGTATTTACTTTAAAATTGCGCACCATAATCTGAAACGAGAGAAAACCGGACGCCCTCTAGTGCTTCTAGGCGTCTACGAAATCCTAGTTGACTTTTCTCAATTTGTTTTGTATCTGACCCGAGGCATGTGGCTTTTTGCGTTAAACCAAAAATTAATACTTTTACAAATTTCGTGATTTAAATCCAATCTCAAATTAAAAGGTAAGTTTTAGATTCTTGTGTGGGTAAATTAATTAGACATTGTAGATTTATGCACCATAAATGTTAAACGTGCACTATTCATGATTTTTAAGAAAATTGAACCTAACCTCAAACAGAAAGGTTTGGGAGACTGGCCCATACCTCAGGAGGGAGACTTGCCCAGAGGGGCAACTCTCCCTTTCTGATGTAATTCTAAATTGGTATTTGTTTTCAATTAATTTTAGTAAAAGTTTATGCATTTTTTTTATTACAGGTCTGTACAATGCCATTTGAGTACAAAACAAAAGACGGTTCCACTCGCAAAAAACTTGATAAGGATGTTCTTAAAAATGCACTAGATGAACTAGGAATTCTTCGAAAAACTTCTGCAAAATATGATATTGATCGGAGGACTTTGAGACGCTACAATAACAACGAAAATAAACTTGAAAAAATAGAAACTAAAGGCCAGTATAATACTTCACAAATATTCACCATACAAGAAGAGAAGCTTCTGGTTGAATATTTTTTAAATTGCAGCAAAATGCACTATGGATTTACTCGAAAACAAGGAATGAAATTAGCTTTTAAGATTGCAGTTTCGAATTCCAAAAAAATTCCAGAAAGTTGGCCAAAAATAGTATGGCAGGAAGGATTGGTTTCGCGGTTTGTTATCAAGAAATCCAGAAATTAGTTTAAGAACTCCGGAGGCAACAAGCTTGTCACGATCTACAAGCTTCAGTCGGTAGAATGTACACACTTTTTTTCAAAACTTAAGGATTGTACGAGAAAAATTTAAGTTTGAACCACAAAATATTTATAACTGTGATGAGTAGGATGTACTACAGTTCAGGATTGTCCTAAGGTATCGGCCAGTCAAAAGCTAAGCAGGTTGGTCAAGTTACGTCATCAGAGAGGGGCACTTTGGTGACAGTTTGTTTTGCAGTCAATGCAATTGGAAGCGTTATTCCACTCTTTTTATATTCCCGAGAAGACTTTGTTTCTGATGGCCCAGAAGGTTCATACTTTTTTAAAATTATTTTTATTTGTTTTTTGCATTAAACTTATGTTTATTCTGATTTCAAAGATTTAGATTAGTTTCGTACTGAATGAGTAAGGTTTTTTGTTTTATTTTTTGAGTTTTTCGAATACAAGAGTTATTATTTACATTTGTTTTGTTTAATAAGGGAGGTGGGCAACTTTCCTTCTGACTATGGGCAAGTCTCCCGCATATGTGGGAGAGTTGTCTATGTTTTCAACAAAATAAAAAACTATATATTTTTTTTCTGACTTTTTTTAAGGTTTAAATGATAAAACACGGTTCCTAAAAATATATGCTACAAAGGCATCTAAAATGTATTGATTTATACAAATAGGATCAAATTTTATCACCAATAATAAATTGGGAGGGGCAAGTCTCCCGGACTCCCCTACTCTCCACGAAGATTAATACACATATGCATGCGCTCGAACCAATTTTCGAAGCACTTGTTCCACTCGTTTGCTGGCAGATTCAAAACGTCATTTTGAATACTTCAACTACTTCTTCTGGTGACTGGAACCTTTGACCACGCAGTCTGTTTTTAATTTTCGGGAAAGTAAATAAATCGTTAGGACTTAGATCGGGACTATATGGAGGATGGTCCAATAATTCCACGTTTCTTCCGTCAAATACTGCCTTGTCTTTTGGGCTGTGTGCGAGGTTGCATTGTCTTGGTGGAGGATGATTCTTCTTTCGGGGTTGATTTTCCGAAGCTCGGTGATGACTTTTGACAAACAAATGGTGGTAAACCAATCGGCAGTAACAGTTATTTGCTCATTAAGAGGAATTGTTGCAATATGACCCGCTTTTGGCACAAATGTCGCGACCATCTTTTTCGAAATACTTCGAGAACGGAAGACTTTTGTTGGATTTTCTCCACCTTGGAACACCCAAACAGCCGACTGTCGTTTATTTTCTGGTTCATAACAGTAAATCCACGATTTATCACCACTAACAATGCTGTACACATTTTTTGAGATTCCGGAATTGAGACGGTCAAACGCTTTTTGACAAAAATTAACCCTGGCTGCTTTCTGCTCTTCAGTCAACAGGTGGGTATCCAACGAGAAACCAATTTTCTTACTCCTAACTCTTCATGTAAAATTTTTGAATTGAGGTCTTGAGATCTTCAAGGATGCCTCAATCTCGCGATATGTCACATGACTTCAATGATGAGTTTGCGCACAGCATCGACGTTTTCCTGTGTGACTGCCGTTTTTGGTGCACCCAGCCTGGGATCGTCGCTAAGACTCACCCGTCTACGTATGAATTCTCCATACCAACGGGAAATTGTCGACTGATGTGGCACTTCGTTGCCGGAAACAGACAGTAACTCAGCAACGCATTTTTGTTGCGATAATTGTCTCTGAAAGTTGTAATAAATTATGGCGCGAAAATGTTCTCGGTTGAGTTCCATTTTTCTAATGACTTGGTGACACTTAAAAATTCACTGTACTGAGAACACCGCACGTATTGTTGTGAAACTTTGAATTTAAGTTTAATAAAGAGTGAGGTTAAGATTCAGTAGGACTGACGTTCGATCCGCAAGGCCTACTATGTTTCTATATGAAAAACTCAATAGACATAAGTCATTTACCGGTTATTCCATAGAATATGCCAAGTTTCCATTTTGGAATACAAAAATCGCATGTTGCTCCAAACAGATCGAGGAAAGTTATAAAAAGTCGAAAAAAATATCAAAAGAGTTTGGGGCGCTCGGAAAATTTATGTTTTTTGCACATAATTCTGCCCTCGCAGGTCATCGGTCGATTTTCAAAGCTACAAAGCCATTGGTAGACTAAGAAGGGTTGGCGGATGGGAGGATTGATTATTTACGTTTCAGTAGCAATGTGAGAAAAGTTTTTCTGAGCTGAAGCTTTTAAAAAAATATCTCCGTTCTACAATGAACCAAGAATGATTTGTTGTTATCAATTAAAAGGGAGCATTCAAAAGAAATGGATTTAAATGAAGTTATTTGGGCCTTCTAAATAATCAATATCTGCCTGATGTTATTTGAAGATGTACAAATATACAGATATTTTTTATGTTGATGAAACTATCATTTTTTTGGAACATAATATGTGTTGTTGTTGAGGGTGGAAGTTTTTCATCGTCCATTTGAGATACTTATAATTTTACCCATTACGGAATGTTCAATTTCTTAACAAATGTAGGCCTCATTTAGCTTTTCCGCCCCAAGCCTCCGAAGGGCTTAGTCCGCCACAGTACAATCCTATTCTTGAGATTACAATACTTTCTCGCCAATTAGCGTGGTGAGCAAATACTAGAGCAGGTGATGTATGTAAATATATCTATTTTCCTGATTCACTTCATTAGTATCAACAAAGACAGTGCTGATGAAAGCATGCCAATGCAAATTCAATATAGAGAATGTAGGTAAATTCTAAAACATATTTTGAAGTTCTGGTCTATCACTATCGCTTCCTACTTTCATCTTTCTTCTTTACTCTTATTCTCTCTCAATAAGAAGTGGAATGGATGAACTATAGGAGAGTGACATGTGTTTTTGGTTGCGGCTCATTCGTTCATTATCGCACACGTAAGCGTAGATATGACATCTGCGTATGTTTGCAATAACGACACAAAATGCAGGAAGGAACAACATTAACTCCAGTGCACAATTGCTAGTTCTTTTCACTGACGAAGTAAACTTCAAACACGAAAGCATCCACAAACTCAACGTGAACCTGTTATTTGATATCTAGCCTTCAAGATTGTAAAGTCTCAGATAAGAGACTCTGTGTTTCAGACTTGCGTACATATGCATCGGAAATGCGAAAACCAGCATGCATGCAGTTGTAAATAACG